TTTGCAGTTTTAAAGCATAAAAAATCATAAAAATGCGTAGTCGCCAACACAACACCCAAAAATGAATCAATGTCCAAATCAATCAATATACTTTCATTTCGAATCTACTCTCATTAAAGGTTTAACATCCAGAATTGGGAGTGAATGAGAGTCAAAACTCAAAAATACGTAGTAACTCCATCATAAATGGAATATAAAGTATCATAACATTATGGCATTCTTGACAAAAATTGCGGGTAAATCTCTTTACCTCCAATGTTGCCAAGCCTTTCGATACCATCTCTATCATCCTTGTTCTAATCTGACATAAAATCATATGCACATTAAACATATTACCAGGAAAGAAATTCTCTCATCATTGGCAATGAAATTAATAATCTATCTAATAAAATATAGAAAATGTTGCCTTAACAAAAATCGTAAGTTTAAAATTAAATTACCCACAGAATCACCATTTAACCTTTTTTGCCCATAATGGAAAATTTTATTAAATATGAAGCACATTGCAAAAAGACAAATGTCCAGTGGAAGCCATAAACGTAAAAGGTTCATGAGAAAACTTCCCCATCCATTTATCCATAAACAATTTATACCAAAGGATTCCAGAAAATCCACATAAGATCAATTTTCACCTTGGGTGGTGGAGACATAATGTGGGGAAATGTTATAGCGAGGTTGTACTGCTGATTCAACAATAGAAGCATAATATGTTGTTGCTTAGATTTTTAAATCGCCAACACTCAAATTACCCAATGATTTGGATTCTAAAACAATTTTCTGTTTCACAAAAGAACTATCACCTTCATTTTCTTACCATAATGGAAATTTTTATTAAATATGGTGTAATCATGATCGTAAATTGTAAAATATACGAATCTATCAAATTCTTTTATATGTGACTAACATGAACCAGTTATTTATGATGGAGGAGGTATTGTTCCATCACCTTTAATAACTGAGGGGCATTTATTTGGCTGGCTGGTTTCTCGCAACTTTGTGGAATATTTTTCTTGAAGGAAAAAGGATTCTTTCGTGATAAGAAAAGCTCCTAGGAGGAGGTTGGAGGCTTGGTTAGGTTCAATGCGTCCCTTTGGGCTTCCATTACAAGGTCTTTAGCAATTACCCTTCATCTCTCATTACCAAGGTCTTTAGCAATTACCCTTCATCTCTCGTTATTTTAAATTGGAGCCCTCTATAATAATTCTTTCTTTTGTGTTTTTATTGTTGTTTTGGCTCCTTCTAGCTTGAGCTTTCCTTTCTTTTTGTATAGCCCTCGTGTATTCGCTCATTTGTTATCTCATTAAAAATACATGAACTAATAATTAATTTCCTTTTTGTGATTTTCTTTGAGTTCAATTTTTTACATTGCTTCAGAATATAAACGTTGGTCTTTAAAATTTTGGTATTCCTCTTGCCTCCTTGCACTCTGAATTGGTACTTATTTTGTAACACGAAGATATCTGTGACTTTAAGAGGATTCATTATCCTCTTATACCTGGTCCTTTCTATTCACTTTATTAGACATTTCTTACATTTTTTTTTATATCCCTGTGTCCGGGCTAGCTTATGCACACCTTGACTATTCACGGGCCAACCGTCAAACTCTACTACATTTGGTTGACAAGGAAACTCATAGGATATTAAATTCTAGGTAGGTGGCCACCATGGTTTGAACTCATTCCCTCTAAGTCCTTTGCTATTTACATTGGCCCTCATTGACCACTTGAGCCATCACATGATGGTTACCTTTCTTGCTATTTTATTAAATGTTTTTAACCCAAAAACAAAACAAAAACGGGCAAAACCAGAGTTGACGAATGACCTAAAGATGATGGTCAAGAGATTGGAAAACAAAATGTTTTTAACCCAAAAACAAAACAAAAACGGGCAAAACCAGAGTTGACGAATGACCTAAAGATGATGGTCAAGAGATTGGAAAACAAGTAAATGGCCCCGAGCATGCACCTGGAAACACTGACCCAACAAGCCAATGACATGGTTAATGGGAAAAAACATCTTGGAGGTTGAATAGTTAATCTAACAACTGAGTTAAAGATAAAAAAAAATTAGGTCCAATAAAGCATATCCAGGGTGTAAATTTAAGGAAGCACATAGAATAAAGAAATACCTCCTGATCTGACTTCTCGTTCTCAAATTTAGGATAGAACGTAGCTCTTATTTGTGCCTGTGTGTAAGTGGAGTTGTCCACAGTAAAATTTTCTATCTGATTGCCCTTGAATAGTTGACTCAAGCCAACAGTGCCATTCTGTGCAGCTAGTCCAGCAGTGTTCCCCTTGTTTTCAATAGATGTTCCAACGGCAGGTGCCTTTTCAGCTTCAACCACTGCTGCCCCCCCACTGGTTGTTCCATATGCTTTCGGTTTCCAAATCCCTCTATTTCCAAGCCCAGAGGGGACCTGGTTTGTTAGCTGCGCATTTCCAAACTCCCTACTAGAAATAGGAACATGAGGTTGACCACTTTCACTGACTCTCAATTTACCAAGTGCATTAGTGACAACTTCAGCAGCAGCCTCTGACTCTGTAGAAGTTCTGTCAAGCTTCGCCTTCTCTTTCCACTTTTGTTCTCTGCGACCATCACTTCGCTGCAAATTAAGATCAAACTCAATAAGCTGAACATTCACAAGCAGATAATCCCGAACCAAAGATAAAATTCTAATTATGCATTGCCGATGACTTGAGACAAAAGTAACAGAAATGAACTGTTCCATATGCGTCAATACGTATAAAAAAACCACCAATTACTACAGTTGAATCCTCTTACATGACAGCATTGTAATAATATCAACATCTCTATCCACGTAAACCATCAAACGCCGAAAAGGGCATAAAACATAATTCCCAAAGACTGAGTGGAAGAAAACGGAACAAACAAACAGATAACAAATTCAAACCTGCCCTGTCCCCATATCAAAGAAACAGATTACCGCATTTATGTCAACAACAAAACGAGACAATCACCAACATGAAAAGCATTGAAGAAAACAAACAGAGACACCCCAATACAGAAATGGGCGATCATGTGCATAAATTCACAACCCGGAAAGCGGGAAACAACGATGACGAACAAAACCCATCAAACAAAAACGTGGGGGGTACCTGATTGTAAGGCATGATCGATCGAGAATGAGGAGAAAGGTGAAAAGGGGAAGAAATTAGAGGCGGGAGGGCGAGAGAGCGGGGAAAAATGAAGTGGGAAGTGGAGAGGAAGGCCCTGGAATTGAAGAGTGAAGAGGGCGAGAAACGAGGAGGGTGAGGGAGAGTGATGGCGCAGAAGATCCTGTGCGACGCCGACATTCAAGAGAGAGCGTGAGCCCTGCGCAAGTGGGCGCTATATGAATATCGTTACGGAGAGACGAAGACTCGGCCTCGAAGAGAGAATTCAGGGAGAAATGAGAACACACGGCATGCGCTAAAGCTTGGTGCGTGTCATTGGAATGGAATTTGAGGACTTGAAACGAGCCACGTCTAAAATGTATAGGTTAATTATCGTTGAGCTATGCTCGTTTTGATAATGAAGTATCTCTTTTGCACCAAAAAAACGAAATTCCGTGCGATATGTTTCTATATACATTACAAAGCATATTCATGACAGAATTCATGCTAGGTTAACAAGTTAATATTTATATTGAGCTTATTTTTGAATCAAAGTTGTGCATATTCTTAAATATGCATAACTTAGAATAACACTACATTTTTCTACAAAATACATAGAGAATAAATCTATGTTTTTCAACTAGAATAGGTCATTGCACAAACAGTATATATGGTGTCACAACCATACTAGAAGAAAGTATGTTGTGCTGCCCACAAAGCGGACAAGTGATGGCAACATTCATACATCAACTATCAAACCGAGAAGTTAGCTAGGCTTACCCTAACTTCCTCCAAGGCTTAGGAAAAATTATGGAGATAATTTAGGTTACCATAATGGCCCTAGGAGCTAAGGGTGGATCTTTTAATATCTCATATATTAAAATTTTGGTATTACTTGATTCTCATTCAAATAAATTTCTTATTATTATATCTCGTATATAAAAGAAAAAAAATTGTTTTTCTTATAACGTATCAAGTAAGTTAATGGCTAGAATATTTTAAATAAAATAATATATTTTAATATCTCATATATTAAATTTTATATTATTCTAATGTTATTCAAATAAATATTTTATTAGTATATCTTATATAATAACAAAATATAATTTCCTATCGAATACATTAATTAGGAAATGATATTTAGCCAAATAAAATTTTTTAGTATCTTATATATTAAAATTTTAGATTATTTGCATCTTATTCAAATAAATATTTTATTAATATATTTTATATATTAACAAAATTTAATTTTTCTGTTTAATGTATCATATACATTAATTCATATTCCCTTTACTATTTAACGTATCCAAATAAATTAAATAATTGAATTTGAATTTGAACATTTCAAAATCAATTTTCTTTCAACATGATTTATCTATTAATGTTCTTGTGAGCTAAAAATGGGACCTTATGGACCTATCGTTTATAACCTCCAATAATACAAAATTAATTAAGGCCGTCTCAGACCAGTGTGAGGGTGGAGCCTCATTGTTCAAGTACTGAAATCAACACTTTCTCGACCAGGTCATCATAAGAAAATACTGTTAAATCTTTCCGAAGTGAGAGAAGGAGGGAAGGCGCGCTACAACTAACAGAACAGCCAGYTGAAAAACGCTAGCTAGCTAGGCTAGCGCGCAATGGCTTTCTCTACGTTGGGCTCGCTTCTTCAAGCCGGAGCCCAACCTATACAAGACAAGGTGCTGCTCGCTTGAACTACTCATCTACTTACCCTATAATAGGAATGAGTGAATTTTATCTTCTGACATCATTGAATTGTTAGGAGTTTAGATTGTGTGGACTTAGTTAGAAGTTGTTTTAAAAGTTATTTAGGTTGTTTGTTTAAATTTAGCAAATAAGTCTCTTTTTTTGTTAGAGAAGTTAGGAGGTTATTCATAGATTTTGTTTTCTCTTGTAATCTAATATAGTGCCTTTATTCCTCATCTTTAATCATCAATTTGGGAAATAAATAATTTATTTCTTCTCTCTCTGCTCGTATATATCTCTCCAGTGTCTCTATCCTTAGTTTATATGGTATCAGAGCTAAGTTTAGATTGACACCAAAATGGTTAAAACAGCAATGACGACTGATGTGCACAAGGATGAGAATTCTGAAGGATAAAATAAGACCTCAATTTCTCTCCCTACAAGCACATCCACGACACCTCACATCTCTTTCTCTAAAAACACTTCACTCCAAATTACCTATCCAAAACTCAACGGAAAAAATTTTCTACAATGGTCTCGATCGGCCCTCCTAGTTATCAGTGGCCGAAGTCGACTAGGATACATCAACGACACGATAGCAAAACCAGATGAAGTCGACCATTCTTTTTCTGTGTGGGATGCTCAAAACTTGATGGTCATGGCATGACTCATTAACCCGATGGAGAAGGACATTAAAGAATCATTCCTCTTTTACTCAACGACAAAAGATCTCTAGAATGCACTCACTAAGACCTTTTCTGATTTTGATAATTCAGATTAGTTGTTCGAATTACACAATAAAGCACGCTCCCTACAACAAGGTGAATTCGATGTCACCCAATACTACAACTCATTACGTCAGTTGTGGGCTAAACTTGATATATTTCTCAATCTCGAATGGGAGAACCCGAAGGATGTTGAACGCTTCTACAAACACATCGAGAATGAACGAATCTATGATCTTCTTGCAGGTCTTCGTCCAAACTTTAATGATGTGTGTGGACGCTTATGTGCCAGAAAGCTACTTTCAGCCATCAATGAAATCTTCACAAAAGTCCGTTGGGAGTCAAGCCACAAATGCGTGATGATGGGTGATACACCCGCAAACCCCTACGTCCCTCTCGCTGGAATCATTAGCTCTAGCAGTCCGAGACCGACCACCACCTCTATCTTGATCTACTCGTCGGAACAACCTATGCTGTGATCATTGTAGCACACAAACCATTCAAAAGATCGGTGTTGGGAACTCTGTGGTCGTCCCCAACGGAAGAATTTATTAGGAGATTCTCAACCACCTCAACCACAAATACTCCACCTTCTCGAACCAGCTACTCTAGCTATGTACTATTCTCATCAAATGTCACATCTATAGAAACAAAAGTTTTATGAGAAGGAGGGTGATAACATTTGTACCCTTTTAGAGTTGGAGAATAACCTAAAAATATGCATTTAAGAGCTCTAGAATCTAACTTACCACATTGATGAGAATGAATTTGTACATAAGCTATGCATCCAAAAATTCTGTGTCAAGTGACTATAACTCTAGGATCAAGAAAAAACTTTGAAAGATTTTCCAATGCAGTATAAAAATTCAAGATTCTAGTAGTAAGAAGGTGGATGGCAGTTAAAACGGTTTCTCCCTAATAATATTTTGGAACATTCTTATGAAATAAAAGAGCACGAGTAACAGCTAAAATATGCCCAATTTTCCTTTCTGCCAATCCATTTTGTCGAGGAATGTTAACACAAGAAGATTCATGAATAATGCCATTATTTTGAAAAACAAATATCAAGGTCCGGTTAAAACAGTCTTTTGCATTATTTGATCGGTCTCTCTTAAATCCTATCCCAAATTGAATTTTAATCATATAAAATAAATTCTGAAAAATAGTTTGAGCATCAGATTTGTTCTTCAAAAGATAAATCCATGTAACTCTAGTACAATCATCAATAAACACAACAAACCATTTACTACAAGAAATACTAACAATTCTAGATGGTCCCCAAATATCATTATATATAAGAGAAAAATGAGTAGACATGCGGGAATTACTAATAAGAAATGGAACTCTCTTATATTTGGCAAATTCACAAATATCACAATCAAGGTTTTAAATGTCGATGTCGATGGAAATGTCGAGGTCTTAATTTCATGGAAATATCGATAAAATATCGATGTCGATGGATATTTTTGTAAAAGTTAGAAAAATTAAAAAATCGTAAAAAATATTTAAATTAACAAAATAAACATTTTCATATTTCTAAATTAGTTACAAATAATTAATATTATATATATATTAGTCACATTTTGTTGATATTTTTCATATTTTGTCGATTTTCTTGTACTATGATGGAAATGTCGATTTACTCCGCATGTCGATTTCGAACCCATGGAAACATGGATATATCGATGGAAATATCGACGTGTTGACGAATATTTAGAATCATGATCACAATGAAAGCTAGAAAATATCAATACCGTTAAAAAGTTCAGGAAACATACTCTGAAGGACGACCTAATCTATAATGTTGTAACCAAACTTTATCAGCGGAAGCAAAACTTAATTTATAATTTAAAGAGATGGATTGATCACTATGATTAGAATCAACATCAACTATTTCTCTGAGTAATATAATCCATTTCTTTCCTTAGCAAGCCCAATCATCTTCCCACTGACTTGGTCCTGAAACATACACTAAGAGTTAGAAAAGACAAGTTTACAATTTAAATCTCCTAGGAGTTTTTTAACATAAATCAAATCGAATGTCAACTTTGGAACATGCAGAACGTTTTTAAGAATCAAATTATAATTAATTTTAACATCCCCTTGTTCAGCTATAGTTATCATAGTGTTATCTATAGTCGAAACTTTTCAATTACTAGGACAAGAGTTATAAGTAATAAAACAATCGCTAGTTCTAGTAATGTGATCAGTTGCTCCTGAATCTATTATCCACGGTTCTATACTAGATGTAAGAGTTTGAAGAGTCATTCCTGAAACTACGACTGGACATGTATCTGGGTTCTCTTTGGGCTTTTCCAAACTATTAAGGAGGCTTTTCAACTTTTCTATTTTATCTTGGTTGAATGCAACTTTTTGTACTTGATCCACCTTCTCAGCATCTTGTGTGGTCTTATGAATTGGGGCTTGTTCCCTTCCATCTATCCTCCTTTAGTTGTCCAATTTCTTCCACCACCACTGTTTGTTGGTTTTCCATGCAATTTCCAACACTTGTCTCGAGTATGTCTTGACTTTTTACAATAAGTACAAAAAACACTATCTTTCTCTCTATGGCTACTACGTCTATATTCATTTGACTGGGTATCATTGAAACCATTTAGATTGTCAGAGCCAAACAAAATATTACTTTTACCTGCTACCATTGCTAATCTATCTAGTGTTTGAGATTCAAGCATAACTTTTCATCTACTTTCCTCACTTCTGATGATTACTATAACTTCATTCAAGGTTGGTAATTCTTTCCTAAGTATTTGTACTCTAACAACATCAAGATCAACATTCAAACCGGCAAGAAATGTATAAATTCTACCTTTCTCAACAAACCTTTTATGTGTAGTAGCATCTTCACTATTTTTCATCGTAATGCATTGATAACAAATT